TATATACCATATATAGTATGTACCACCATAATATACATACCATATAAAGGTATGTACCACCATGCCCTGTTTTTTGCTGGGGATGGAGCTCATCCTGTCATGCTAGGCAGGCACTCTACCACTGAGCTATATCCTCAGCCCCTATTGTTTTAAAACAAGGTTTCACTCTGTAGCTACATGCTGGCCTGGAAGCCAATAGAAATCCTTCTAATGGGCAAGCACAATGGCTAAGCAGGTAAAAGCACTTGCCACCCAAGCCTGACATAGTGAGTTTGCTCCCTGGAATTCACAGCAGTGGTGGAGAACAAGCTTTTAAAAGCTGGCCTCTAGCCTCCATGTGCACACTGTGGTATTCACGTACTTACACTCACTCCTACATACCATATACACATCATATTCTCTCTCTCTCTCTCACACACACACACACATGCACATACACAGAGTAAAAAAAAAATGAGGAGCCAAGTGTGATGGTACACACCTTTAATCTCAGCACTCAGGAGGCAGAAGCTTATGAGTTCAAGCCCATCTTGGTCTATATAGTAAGACATTTTATAAAACATCTAAATAAAGCCAGGTGGAGGTAATACACACCTTGAATCCCAGCACTCAGGAAGTAGAGGCAGGCAGATCACTGAGTTTGAGGCCAGTCTGGTCTATAGAGTGAGTTTCAGGACAGCCAAGGGTACCCAGAGACACCATGTTTCAAAAAAAAAAAAAAAAAAAACCAAGAGTCAGGCAGGTAGTGACGCATGCCTTTGATACCAGCACTTGGAAGGCAGACAGCACTTGGGAGGCAGAGGCAGGCGGATCTCTGAGTTCGAGGCCAACCTGGTCTATAGAGCGAGTTCTAGAACAGCCAGGGCTACACTGAGAAACCCTGTCTCAAAAAAAATAAATAAATAAAACAACAAACCCAAAAAACCCCAAAGACAACAATGAAGATCAACTGTCACATCTACCCTGTATCGTTGGCTGTGCCATTTCAGGGATGTTCGTCACTTGGGAGGACAGGACACTGGTGCCATCTACTAGAGGATATATACTGAACCAGCTGTGCACGAGGAAAGCATCAAGATGGGCTCCAGTCCATCCATATGGCCACTCCACTCCACCATGTGGTCCCCTCCAGACTCCCCCAGGACCTCAGCCTGGAGGTCTTCTTCTCTCCTTTGTACTCTTCCATCACACAGGCTGTCCCTCTCACCAACAGGAGACCCGGTGGCAGTGTTCAGGTTTGGAGTCAGCCGATGGCTCTTTGCTGCCCAGTTTCTCCCTGTCACAGAGGTGTGTTAACAGTACCTGTTTCTCAGGATTGTCCTATGATTCTCCCAGCAGGAGTGGTGCTGTTGTCTGTGAACTTACTGACAAGGGTAAACCAAGGCAATCGGGTCAGTGTTTCGGAAGTCTGGTCACATCTGTTCGTAATTGGTATTCTCCATTGTGGCCTGTATACCAAATCAACGTGGGGTTTCTAAGTGACAGAATCAGTCTGTGATCTTTTGTCAAGTGCAGCTCTTCTCGCTGCCAGCTCAGTTCCCCAGACTAAATGTGAAATCAAAGGGATGAAGGAGTTCTCCTAGGTAGCATGGACTCCAGGAAGGAGCCCTGCAGTCTCTGCCCTCCAAGGCTGTGGTCCTTGTCCTTCAAGTTTTCCAGGCCAGCAGAGATAGGATATTCCATAAATAGGACCTTAGGAGTATTGAGGTCATGGGGTTTGTCTGATGAGTTTGAAGGTAGAAGTGATTCAGAAAAACCCTTGTGGAGAACTGGGGCTCAAGAGCAAAGCAAGAGGTTGACACATTGGGAACTGGGAATCTACATGACACAGGGCAGACCCTCGGGGAAACTAGGAACTGCTTTTAGTCTGACAGCTAGCGCATGTCAAAGTGATGCTGATAAACACATACCTCGCCTATGTCCTAGCAATTCCACTCCAAATGATACACCCTAGATACAGGAACATATGTCCATATATTCATACATAGAAACAAGAATCTTCACAGAGACATTACAAGAGTCTTAAACTGGAAATGACCCAGTGCTCATCAGCAAGGAAACAGACAAAACCACATGTTTTTACAACAGCCCAAGAGATAATTCACTAAAAATTAAAAATAAACCGAGGACAGATTTCACAGGCATTATGTTGAGTTAAGGAAGCATGATAACCAAGGGTACATCTCACTTATAATAAGATGGTCCTAGAGTAGGCATGGCAGCTCATGCCTGTAATCCCAGCACTCAAAAGCTGAGGCAGGAGGAATGCCAGAAGTTCCAGGCTAGCCCAGGCTACAGAGTAGAAAGTTTGTTTTGAAAAAACAAAAGACAATCAAACAAAAGGGGCCTGGGGACGTAGCTCATTGACAGAGGTTTGCCTAGCATGCACAAACTGGACATGGTGGCACTTACCTATGATCTCAATAGTCGCAAGACGACACAGAACAGAAATTCAAGGTCACCCTCAGTATATACTGAACTGAGGCTGGCCTCAGTTTATAAAATCCTGTCTCAGAACAAATGCACAAAGACTGGGCCAGTGAGATGGCAGCCAAGCTTGTCAACCTGAGCTGCGTCCCAAGGACCCACTTGCCATGCCACACATGGGAACACACACACCTGATTTAAAAAGAAAACAATGATAATAGTTTTCAAAAGATTTTACATACACATACATTATTATTATGTTTGTGGAAACATGGTTTCTCTGTGTAACAGCCCTGGCTGTTCTAAAACTTGCTTTGTAGACCAGGATGACCTCAAACTCACAGAGATTCACCTGCCTCTGCCTCTGAATCCTGGGATTAAAGGTGTAAGCCACCGTGCTGGTCATCCAGTTCTTAGCACTCAAAAGAGAGCTCACGACAGCTCAGTTCACTCCTTCCTTCTTCTGGTTTCCAAGATTACCATAAATGCAGGCAAATACTCATATGCATAAAGTAAAAATAAATCTTTAAAAATATTATTAATTATGTGTGTGTATGTGCATGTGTGCACAGGTGTCCACAGAGGGCAGAAGAAAGTCACTGTCCCTTGCCGGGCAGTGGTGAACCACACCTTTAATCCCAGCACTCGGGAGGCAGAGGCAGGTGGACTTTTGTGAGTTCGAGGCCAGCCTGGGCTACCGACCTAGTTCCAGGACAGACTCCAAAAACTTACAGAGAAACCCTGTCTTGAAAAACCAAAGGGGGGGGGGGCAGGGCTGGAGAGATGGCTCAGTGGTTAAGAGCATTGCCTGCTCTTCAAAAGGTCCTTAGTTCAATTCCCAGCAACCACATGGTGACTCACAACTGTCTGTAATGAGGTCTGGTGCCCTGTTCTGGTCTGCAGGCTTGCTTGTACACAGAATATTGTATACATAATAAATAAATATTTTAAAAAAGAAAAAAAAACAAAGGGAAAAAGAAAAGAAAATCACTGTCCCTTGGAGCTGGAGTGACAGGCACTTGTGAACTGCCCAATTTGAGTGCTTGGGAACTAAACTTAGGGTGGTCTTCAGGAGGGGTGAAAAGCCAGTCTGCCTCCATCTTAGGCTTAAAAGCCATCTTATAGAAAAGATATACTAGGTTTGTTTCTGTTTATGATTAAACCTGAACTTCCTTCCGCAAGGGTACTTGCATTCTCTCCTTCAGTTCTTCAAAAAGGGTTTCCCTGTTTCCAAGTGACATGAACCAGTAATGGTAAAACAGTTGGGATCCAGGGGACATTGCCCACAGTATGGCATTTAGCAATTGGTAGCTGTTATCGTCCTCATCAACTATTAATACTTTTGTTGAGGCATAGTACAATGATGTGCTTATGTCTTACGTACAGATCAATGCAATTTTTACATAATATGTGCATGTATCAAGTATCAGACATAGCACGATTCCAACATTTCACAAAAGTGCTCTTATATTACTATCCAGTCAATAACGAGTATCTCTTTCCAACCACGTTTCTGGCTGCGATTATGCATTTGCTTGCTCTAATCTTTTTAAAATTCTCACCTGTGGCCTAGAGGAATCTCGACTAAAGATCGTACTCTGTTAATCCCAGCGGCGGGAAAAGAAAGACCACCAACCGAAAGCATCATGGCCGAATTAATTAAAGCAAACAATGAATTAAACCAAGTATTTTTTTTAAATTCGTGTACCTGTACTGCCTCCCCCTAAGGCGGAGTTGAGAGGTCAACATTGGATGTGAGGAAAACGAGGTTTTTAGAAAACTCAGGGGTAGGGGGTTTCCAAATAGGGAATTTGGCAGGCAAAATAGGGCAGGTTGTAGGAGCAGAACATAAGGTCCTAACGATCTCCTGAAAAGACGTGGTTGCAAGGTGGGCATAGCAAGGTAGTCAGAAAAAGGTAAGTCATAAGTGGTCAGATAACCTTTTGAAACAAAAGTAGGGGTGCAAGATGGTTATCAACAACTTTTTGAATCAAAGACACGATTTCCATCCCTGGAACAGGTAGTACAGAACCTTTTGTAGTTAAGGTCACAGGCTGGGCAAGGCTCCAAAGATAGAAATGCGGTGCGAGCTCCGACTTCACCTCTAAGGCGCTTACGTGACTGCAACGCCGGTGGCCCCTCCTGCCGAGCTCCTGCGGGTAGCCCCGCCCAGCCAAGATCGCCAGAAGAGGTAGCCAATCAGCGACCGGCCTGGCCCGGGGTCCCTGACCTGGAGTCTCCCCGTCACCTAGGCCGACCACCAGTTTCCAATGAGCGAGCTACCCCTCGTCCATCCGTGATCAGCCGCCTTACGTCCCGTGCCATTCACGGCCCGCAGCGTTTCCGTAGCGTACGCTTTCCCCTTGCCGGTTGGCGCTCTGCCAGCCAATCATCGGCGTATCCGGACCAGCCAGCCAATGGCTGCCCGCCTCCGCGCGCCTGGCCCGCGACGGTAGCGGCCGTGCGCCTTGCGGCACGCGGGAAACGACGAGGGATTGGCGCAAGTAGAGGCCAATGGGCGGTGCGCGCGAGGAGCGGGGCCAATGAGCGTCGCAGAGGCGGGGCCGGCGCCGCGGCGGGCGGCTGTAAGGAGCGGCCGGTAGTGGCGGCGGTGGCGGCGGGTGGTGGCGGCGGCGGCCAGCGGTCGGCCATGGCGGAGGCGGAGGCCGGCGGCGACGAGGCCCGCTGCGTGCGGCTGAACGCCGAGCGGGCCAGGGTACTGCTGGCCGACGTGGACACGCTGCTGTTCGACTGCGATGGCGTGCTGTGGCGCGGCGAGACGGCCGTGCCGGGCGCGCCGGAGACCCTGCGGGCGCTGCGGGCCCGCGGCAAGCGACTGGGCTTCATCACCAACAACAGCAGCAAGACTCGCACGGCCTACGCCGAGAAGCTAAGGCGTTTGGGTTTCGGCGGCCCGGCGGGGCCCGACGCGGGCCTCGAGGTCTTCGGCACGGCCTACTGCAGCGCGCTCTATCTGCGCCAGCGCCTGGCCGGCGTGCCGGACCCCAAGGCCTACGTGCTGGGCAGCCCGGCCCTAGCGGCCGAGCTGGAGGCCGTGGGTGTCGCCAGCGTGGGTGTGGGCCCGGAGGCGTTGCAGGGCGAAAGCCCGAGCGACTGGCTGGCCGTGCCGCTCGATCCCGACGTGCGCGCGGTAGTGGTAGGCTTCGACCCACACTTCAGCTACATGAAACTCACCAAGGCCGTGCGGTACCTGCAGCAGCCCGACTGTCTGCTCGTGGGCACCAACATGGACAACCGGCTCCCACTGGAGAACGGCCGTTTCATTGCGGGTCCGTGCGCCTAAGGGCTGGAGGTTGGAGGGCGGGTCCAGCCCTTCCGTGTCCTCTGACCCCCAGCGTCCCCTTCCCTCCCTCGCCCTGCAGGTACCGGCTGTCTGGTGCGAGCCGTGGAGATGGCCGCCCAGCGCCAGGCGGACATCATCGGGAAGCCTAGCCGCTTCATCTTCGACTGCGTGTCCCGGGAGTATGGGATCAACCCAGAGCGCACCGTCATGGTGGGAGACCGCCTGGACACAGACATCCTCCTGGGCTCCACCTGTAGCCTGAAGACTATCCTGACCCTCACCGGAGTCTCCACGCTTGAGGATGTGAAGATTAATCAGGAAAGTGACTGCATGAACAAGAAGAAAATGGTCCCTGACTTTTATGTTGAGAGCATAGCCGACCTCCTGCCTGCCCTTCAAGGTTAAAGATCTAGTGTCTTTAATCTCTGGAATAAAAAAAGAATTTTAAATCAGTTACCTAAGTTAATAGGTGGGGCTTAGAAATGGCTCAGTTAGGTGGCTGCAGGTTAATTAGAAGTGAGCCGAGGAAGACGTTAACCTTGCAGGCAAAGTTGGGGGTGTTGTTTACAGACGGTTGTATTTTAAGATGCACTTTTAAACTTGGAAGGCTGTGGGGTGGGTGTAGCATCTGCCCAGGATTCGGGTAAGCTTAGGCCCTGTTGATGAGTCTGAAGGAGGTCAAGGGGTGTGCGTCATGCATTTTGCTGAAAAAATGTATTCAGGGATCAGACCCTCAGATGGGCAGAGGAAAGGAAGGGCTCTTATGAGACACTTGTGTAGACCAGGAACTGGGGTGGGTGTCCTCCATTGTGACCATACTACAGAGGAGCCTGCTTCTGTGTTCCCAGTTCCTCCCCTGCAGGGTGGGACTGGAGGAAGCTGCTCCCAGGAGGGATTGCTGTTGTTGGGGTTTAGGGTGCTGCCCTTGACAGCTTCCACTCATCTTGGCTTCCTTGAAAACCACTTTGATGTCACAATTGTCTGTTCTGATGCCCAGGATTGCAGTCTCATGAACAGTAACAGCCTAGCTAAACTTGGGCTCTCTTGTGTGAATTTAAACCCAAATGTCTCACTGAGTGTGCTCTGCTGAGCGGGTATGGGTGCCTGCATTTAACGCCATACTGCTGTACAGGGACCTTAGAACAGTGTTTATTTTTTTAAAAAAAATTTTTTTAAACTACTCAACAACATTGTCAGGTGTGGAATTGCATCTTTAGTGTATGGATTAATAGCTGTGCTGTCTCAGGTAAATCCCACTGAAAAAACCTTAAGCCACCATCAGCAGCATAGCCAATGTGCAGCCCAAGGATTGCCTTGTTTCCCAGAGTGCCCTCTGGGTATGGAAGGAAAGAGGAGTCCTGAGAACAGTTGTCTCACAACCTCCCTGGCCTCTGTCCTTTGGGTTGTGGCTGGGTTATATGTTGGTGCTCCATGAAGCCATCTATTTCCATCCTGGATTTCCTTGTTGATGGCCATCCAGAAGGCCCACCCTACCAACCAGTTGGCTTCTCAGCATCTCTGGCCTTTTGCTCTGCTCTGCAAGTCTCTGACCTTTAGCAGTCTGCTGAGCAGACTGGGCAGCGTTTGTGGGGCAAACCCAGGAAGCTGTTCCTTTTGGCTGACTCCTTCCTTCCTGGCTCCTTGCCCTGTGGCTACTCATGATCACAGCACTTCACCTGTTCACCAAGTTCTCGAAGCAATAAAATGTATCCCATGCCTGAAGCTGTTCCCAGGTCATGGGGTGCTGGGAGTGGAATAATGCCATAATTCAACATGAAGGCAGCAGTGCCTTTAACATTGGTGCTGGTCCTCTGTGAGGGTGGCTCCGTGAGTCTGGGTAGGGTAATAACTGTTCTGTTGTGGCTTTATCACCTACACAGGAGCACTGGTAGGTGCAGCAGCAAGGGATGCCCCTCTTCTACTGGGCAGTAGTCTGAGAACCTATGTGTGTTACATTTTCACCTTATTTCACTGTGAACTCAAATGCACATTAAACTCTCAAACCCACACTGATAAGGTTTGCCTTCCTCTATATACTTTGAGTAACACCTGTCTAGCTATGGATGGGGGCAAGGCAGGCCAGGATCCCAGTTCCAAAATCTTACACAGTGGACATGACCATTGCAGCCCCACCCTTCTTCTGAGGAACAAACAGGTCCTGAAGAAACAGGAAGTGTGTAGCGTAAAACTAGAATAGAATAGCTTCTGGGTAAAATATGTGGATATGTGTGCAGCTGAGCTACCATGTAGCTAGACAGACCAGGGACCAGAGCAATCAGCTTGGTTAGGAAAAAACATGCTAGGGAACAGGCTGGCTTAGCCATCCTTGATATACAGTAACCATTTGTCCAGTGCAGCCTGGAGCCCACTGTGTGCACATGGGAATATCCACAACCCCATCTGGTGTTAATGGGATCTGGAAAGAGGCTTGGGAGTTTACAGGTAAAGAAAGGAAGCAATTAGCCTCATACTGATGGTTCATTGAACATTTATTGATGGTCTGTGTCTAGCTCAGGAGTCCAGAGGTAACGGATTCCAAGAAAATTAACTGCCAAAACAGACAAAATCGTCCTGGCCAAGATTTAGCCCATTCTGACTTCCTACCAAGGCCCTGCTTTCACTCGCTCCCAGAACCACGATCTGCACAGGCCAGGTGTCCAGAGACATGCCTGATGACCAGCAGTGGGGGAGAGGGCTGTCCTGGCTCTGACCCGGGATATCAGATACTGGCTGGGAAGGAAGCAGTGGGATTGGGAGGGGAGGGTACAGTTTGACTCATCAAAGGCATCCTGAGGTTTCCCTGGCTGACTCCTCCAAGGGGCTGTAGACAATCAGTGCATTGTCAGCAGGGGCTGCAGCATGGAGCAAGGGCACATCCACACTGAGAGCCTCAGGTCCAGGCCTGTTGAGGTGAGTGTCTCTGCCACCCCCCACCCCACCCCTGACAGGGACACCATAGGAGACAGAGGTGTCACCACCCACCATCAGCCCCTTCCCTGAGCAAGTCGCTCCCTGGTCTCTAACCCAGAAGCCGCTCTGACAGTAATATGCCCCCAGGTGAAGACCAAACCCTGCCATAGGGGTTGGAGAACAGCGGGCCTGCTGCTGTTGCTGACACTGGTCACTGCAGGGGCCATGGCAGGAGGGCTTCTTGGCTTCACGAACAGCCCTCCCAAGGTGAGCCACTCCTCAAACCCAGGGGTAAACAGAGTGGGAAGGGAGCAGGAAGACTAGTATCTCCCATAGGGCCAGGCCTAAACACTGGCCTTGAGCAGATAGCCAGAGGAGCAGCAGGAACAAAGGCCAACTCAAGTAATGTGGAAATACAGATGTTAGGGCTGAGTTCCAAATACCCCTTAGCCTTTGCTGCAGATGCTCCGAAAGACCTCAAGCTCCAGGGTACCCTGGCCCAACCAAACCACTCTAGTGGACGTGGCCCAGAACATGGCAACAATCGTGGTGACTCCGCTTCAGAGCAATCACAGCTGGGCTGTGCTGTTCGACGGGCAAAGTGTGAGTAAGCTTGGGAGGGGTAGAGTGGAGGTATGGGGTGACCTTGACTTACCTGTCTGCCTCCCCAGGGCTACATCTGTTACCGCCCTGCAGAGCACCAGGCCTGCTTCCTCCGGCTGATGGAAGCCCAAGATCGGGAGACCCTAAGGCTGCTGGTGAACACTTCCAGGGTAAGCAGTACTACTTGGCTGGCCACCCCCTTCAAATCCCCTCCCCAAGGCCAGGGGACAAACAAAAGGTCCTCTGTGCAGCCTGGCTGGGCCAGCCAAGGCTCTAGTTTCAGGGGAACAGAAAGCTCTATCTTCCCCTGACTAAGGCTGTTGACAAGAGCAGGTGGAAGGGCCATCAGGCTGGGGTGGAACACGAATGCCCTACCCAGCCAGGATCAAGAAAGTATTATACGATGGCCCACCAGAGTCTTTCTGCAGGCCCAGGAGTCCCATGTACCTGGCCAAGAGACCCACTATGCGCAGGAGCTGCTGGCAGTTTTGGGGGGCCATACTGTGGACCCTGCCCAAGTGGGAGCTTCGGTGCAACACCTTTGCGTGGACACTCCTATCTACTGGGCCCAACGCGCAGAGGGTGAGTTGGGGAAGGGTTGAGTGAACAGGCCTATGGCTCCTTCAGGACAGTACTGGGTCGGAGCCCTTGGGACTCATGAGTTCCCTTCTCCCCAGGGTCCCAGAGACAGCGGCTGATCTACCTCTGCATTGACATCTGCTTCCCGAGCAACATCTGTGTGTCTGTCTGCTTTTATTACCTTCCAGACTAAGCCCCCTACCGAGCCCTCCCAGCTTTTGGTCCCCACAGGTCAGCTAGCTGGTCAGGTCACCACCACCAGTGAACGGAAGCTGACAGTAGGGACAAATAAACCCAGATTACCTGGCCATAGTGGTAATTTCTGGGGGCCTCAGGACCTGTACAGGGGTAGAGAGGAGCAAGTGGGGTGACATACCTGGGAAACAAGCACCAACCTCAAATCTCAACAGTTCCAATCCCTGTGGGTCTAGCCTCCTAAAGGGAGCAAAGACTCCCTGTCCAGGCACACGCAGCCTGGCTTGGTGAACCTTCTGAAACAGACTGGGCATGGAGAGAGTCCCAGGGCAGAGTGGCCAGCAGGTCTAGGTTGGCCAGGCGGGGCCAGGGTAGTCTGGTCAGCTCCAGTTGGCCTGACATGCAGAGGCTGACCTGAGAGTCTCATCCACGTAGAGCCACTATACCAGGCAATCCTGACTTCCCAGTGCAGCCTCAAGGAGTAGAGGCTAACCCAGCACACTGTCATTGAAGGCCAAGCAGACGACAGCTTTCTGATGGCCACCATACTCTCTCTTGATCTCTCCAGTCTCGACACACCAGAGCCGGGCCAGGTTGTCAGAGGAGGCTGCAAAAGGGGTGCAGGCAGAAGAGAGCGGCAACTTTGAGTGGCCTCTCCAGAGGCCGAGGCAATGTGGGGGAGACAGGGCAGGGCTCACCTGTGACTATGTACTGGGAGTCCCCTGAGAAGGCACACCCCCACATCCAGCCACGGGATGACTCTCCAGGGTTACCACTCTTGATGCTGAGCTCTGTCATCAGGGAGAAGTTGGATGTCCTCCAAATTTTACATGTCTGGTCAGCTGAACAGGTGGCAAGGAGCCTGGGGTTGGACATTGGGTATCCCTGTATCCACTGACCACACACCAGATAGTGTCCCCAGCCCCTGCAGATGCCCTCTTCCCCCAAACCCTAACACGCACGTGGAGTCAGGGCTGAAGCGGCATTGCAGGGCGTAGCGTGTGTGGGCTGGGATCTTGGTCTTGGGAATGAGCTGAGTCACCTCGTCACCAATGCCCCCGGTCAGGTTCCAGACATAGCAGTTTCCCTATAGGACAGAAGGGCAGTCATTCAAAACTCAGACCCTCAGAACTGGACTTGGATCCATGGACACCTGGGCCAGGGTAGGAAGGCTGGCATCTTGGGTCATATCTACAGGAAGCTTGGTCCCAACAAGGAACCATACCCAGCCAGTCAAAAGCAAGACTCCACACTGGCCAGGGACTCGAACACAGCTCCCTAGAGGCTGCTGCTGGCCAGCAGAGATATGCAGGAGAGAGGCAGTAAGGAGGGCACCCAGACAGAAGAGGTAACAACCCAAGGCTGGGAGGAGGAAACGCAAGCATGTGGAAGAAGTGACATTCTAGGATTTAAAAGGAGAAAACGACGCTAGAGATGAAAGCAAGGACCAAACTGGAGCATCCTGCAGTCCATGAGAAGGAGCCAGGGCATCTAAAGGTCTCAGAACAGTGCAGCCTGTCAGTAAGGCTAAAGGATACTTCTACAGTTGAAGGAGAACAGATCAGGCATCCCAGGAAGGCCACAGAGAAGTTTGTCAGTATCAGGAAAGATCAAAGTCATGGACTGGAATGTGAAAGAAAGGGAAATATTGGCTGAGGTGCCTAGTTTGATGGGTGGGCTATGGCAGACAGCAGGTGCCTGACTTTGGGAGCTGGGCAGAAAACTTAGAGAGGCCTGAGGGATGACCAAAGAATCAAGTCATCTGCAGAAGATGAGGGGCTAAATGCTAAGATGGCCCTGTACCCAATCCCAGTACTCACAGCACTATTGACTGCTGCCATGTAGCTGGCATCAGGGTCAATGTGGGCAGACGTGATGGAAACCTCAGGCTCAGGGATCAGCTGCTCATTGTGGTCTGTCTTCAGGTCCCAGATGTGGATAGCACCGCTCTGGTCACCCACAATGAGTTCTGCCTGGGATATAGTGGGGGTAAGATGCAGCAGTATCTCTGTCCTCCAAAGCCCCCAGGTACCTGGCCCCATGAGTGCTCCTCACCTGGTTGGGATGCAGACACACGCAATTAATGGGCGCATTCACCTGGAAGATACGCTGACACTGCAGGTTGCGGGACCTGTGGGGAGTGATGGTTATCCATGGTGTCTAATGCGTACTACTGGTGTCCCGCCAAAACCCCCCATTCCCTGCTAATAAGAGCTGCTTCTGCCTTGGAAGTTTGTGGAGTTTGGGTCTTCCCCACAGATGGCAGTGTGAGGCCAGCAGAAAGGGAATGGAAGTCTGGCCGCTAGCCTGAAGCAGGGTTGGCTTTGATGGAGGGCCATCCTGCGTTCCTTCTCCCCTCAAACGCCCCCTTGGTTAGTTTGTCCGTGGGGTACCTGCCCAAAGACAACCCTCCTGGCTGCCCTCTCCCCAGACAGCCACCCTCTCCAGTCCAGCACTCAACACCTGAGGTCCCAGATGCGAGCTGTGCAGTCCTCCCCGCCTGTGTACATCCAGCGGCCATCCTCATGAAAGCCCACAGATGCGATGTTCTTATTAACTCCATCATAACTGATGATGGGGTTGGGGTTATTGGAGTTGAGATCATACATGCGGATATGTTGGTAACCTGGGGACACAGGCTAAATTGAAGCAAGGCTGCAGGTAGTCCTGCCACCAGTCAAGGAAGGGTCAAGAATCTCAGGTACCTGCAGCAGCAATCATGCTTCGGTCTGGTGTGATCTCCAATGCATTCACCTGCTGAGCATGTTAAGGATGATGGGAAGGGAACCCTGGAAAGGGAGGCCTTGGGGCCACAGGCTATCAAGACCTCTACCACTTGGCCTGAGTTTCCCCAGGCACTTGGCATTCATACCTAATCCTGGCCACCACCACCCTGCCTGCTCCCAAGTGAAGGATACAGAGTCCTGATGCTGCACTGTTCGAGTGCAGATGCCACTGTGTGCCTGCCAGAAGCGCACAGTGTGGTCATAGCCTGCAGTTGCCAAGATGACAGGGTCACTGCCCACTGTGCCTGGGGTGGTGTTCATTGTTTGATGGCTGGGGAAAATGAGGCCTGCACGGGGCCAGGAGCTAGATGATAGGCAAAGTCCAAAGGTCAAAACATCTAGAGGGAAAGATACATGTATGAGAAAACAATCTGCACACTACACTAAGTATTATCACTTTAAAGATAAGAAAAATTAATCTTTAGAGTCACGCTGGCAGTCACAAGATAGGCGACTCAGTTCCTCCGCTTCTTGGCGCCAGTACCTTCGCTTCATCTGCACGGAAGGAGGCGCCAACCCGCCTGCAGCCAGCAGGAGGCAGTCACACACAGAGGGCGATCACAGGGGCGCCGTCTGCCGCAAGGGTAGGCAACGCATGCGCAGGGCAGGGCGACTGGGGAAGCCGGGCACCGCTGCTGCTGCGCATGCGTAGCTGACCGGCATTGAGCTCTGATGGGTGGGGGAGCTGTGCGGCAGGACCCCCCGAGCTCCCCTGTGCTCTGCAGATTGCTCTGGCTCTGTCCTGCCAGCCTGATTACCCCGACCGCACCGTCCTAGCCACCCAGCGACTAGTACTCAGCCCTCGTCCCGCGGACTCCATACCTTACACACGCTCAGGACTCTGCCTCGGTCCAGGACGGCGAGGCGAGTAGGAGCGAGTCGATAGAAGCCGGGCCGAGCGTAGAGTTATCGATAGCTTCTCAGGGCGAGACCATGAGTGGGGGAGTTGCCAGAGACATTTGAAAGTTCTGAGACCAGGAACTGCAGAAGCGGTCGAGCGTGGAGGGGCGTCAGCCGCGACCCCAGACTTGTACTAACTGAACATCACAGCCTTGATACGGCTGCCTGTTTTTCAGGCTTGGTTCTCAGGAAGGATTGCACTGTCGTTGTCCCCTACCCCTGCACACATACACAATCCCCTATCCTACCTACCAAGATAGAATTTCCAACAAAACTTTCAGATAATTTTTTTTAAGTATAAACATATCTCAAACGTTGTACTAGCAGGATTACTTTATTACAAGAAGTTCAAATGCAACTGGGCATTCTGTACTTCTATTTGCTTTACCTGGTAACCCTAGTCTGGGCCTTTACAGACCAGTCCAGCCCCAGCCTGATCCGCAGTACACACAAGTTAGCCTAGGAACCCCTTTAGAACTGCAGATTCTCATGGCTTCGTCTTTATTACAGTCCTCCTATCTCCACAAAGTAGGTCTTGTTTTCCCATGAATTCTTCCCACTGCACCTATAAATGGGGCTGCAAACCCATTTTCCTATGACCACAAAGAGGGTGAGTCCAGCTCCTTGGCCAAGGCCAATTCCTGTCCGTGCACCCAGGTCCCTGATCATAGACATCCCTCTTCCCCACACTTTCCCCCAGGCCCTCTTCACCTTTACCTCCTTAGTGAGTTTTTGTTGTTTGCTTTGCTTGTTTGTTTTTGGTGTTTTGAGACAAGATTACTCTGTGCTGTCCTAGCTATACTGGAACTCATGCCATAGACCAGTCTGGCCTCGAACTCACAGAGATCCACCTGCTTCTGCTTTGAGGGATTAATGGCGTGCACCCCCAGTTTTGTGTTTGTTTTTTGCTTTTGTTTTTTGCAGGGGTAGGGTTTTAAGACACGGTTTCTCTAATGTAACAGTCCTGGCTGTCTTGGAACTCAATTTGTAGACCAGTCTGGTCTCGAACTCACTGAGATCCGCCTATCTCTGCCTCCCAAGTACTGGGATTAAAGGTGTGCGCCACACACATACACACCCCTCCCCCCATGCTTTGTAGTTTCAACCAGGGTTTGCTTGGTACCCTATGATGACTTCAAATTTACTAGGCAAGGATGACCTTGAACTTCAAGTTCCCTGTCTCTAACACTGTAGAGATGTTTGGGCTTTGCACATGCTAGGCAAGTATACTAGTATCTGAGTTTCAGTGCTAACTCCAGCCTCCCCCTTAGTGCTTTCAGAACCAAAACAACCCTAGTATTCTCTTTCCAGCTAAACTCTCTCTCCTCCAAAGAGCTGTCCTTGCCGCTTTGGTAACTGCACTTCCCACCTCCCCCTCATTCCTCAGCTTTTCCCCCAGCTCTCTGGGGAAATTCCTCAAGGCCAC